TTTAGCAACTTCATGCTATGCCCAGGTATTTGGTAGGGCATCTGCAAGGCTTCTTGAAAAACATCGATATGATTTTTCTAGCACTGCATCCACCGAGCTTGATTAGCATATGCTGCCATGCCAAGGATCGATGCATCTTTCCACTGTGATGTAGATGCCACAATTGAGTGATTTGGACTCAACGATTGTTTTCTGCAACAATGCGGCAGCGCAGTCAACTGTGAATGCTCCACGGCATGTTGTCGAGATTGCTGCCACGCTTTTGCAAAGGAAAGAGGCACGGAGTAGCGGAATGGGAACCATGCTTGCCAAAGTCAGCCAAGCTATGCGCACACCACGAGCCGCAAGACTCAAAGGTGTTGAATTTCGATAGTCCTGACACAAATGAACGAAAATGCGGCTTCAATGGAAATAATTGCAGGAAATAATTAAGAAAATAATTACGGGAAATAGTTAGAGAAAGAATTACAGAAATAATAAGGGAAACGAAATAATAAGGGTAACAATTGGGGAAATAATTGCCGGAAATAATTACGGAACACAATTAAGGAAAAAAATCGGGAAATAATTACGGTAACTAATTAGGTATTTAATTCGGTACATAATCGCATGAAATAATTTAGAAAATAATAAGGTAAATAATTAGAAAAGTGATTACGGTGAATAATTATGGAAAAAAACAAAATAATTGGCGGAATAATTAGGGAAATATTTACGGAAAATAATTGTTGAAATAAATACAGTAAATAATTATATAGGGAAATAAAATTACGGGAAATAAATACGAAAATACTTAAGATAATAAAATTAATGGAAATATAACTACTGGAAATAATTTGGTTAAAAAAAAATGATAGAAATCCAGATTTTTTTCCGGGAAATAATTAAGGAAAAAATAAGGGAAATTAAATAAGTAATGAAATAAATGCTGTACATAAATGATTATGGAATAAATAATTACGATAATTAATTAGAATTAATAATGAAAATAATTAGATAAAATAATTACAGTAAATAACTAGGCAAATCATTAGGTATTTTGGTGCGCGCGCGCTCAGGATTCTTTCACCACCAGAATCCATTTTGAAAGGAAATTGTGTGAATTACGGAACTAATTAGGGAAATACATGAAGTAATTATTGAATGAGTGGAATAATATGGACATATTGTGAAATAATAGTGAAACATTTGGAAACTAACAGGGAAATAATAAGGAAATAATCGGAAAATATTATTGAGGAAATAAAAGGTAAATAATATGGAGATAATGAGGTGGTGAAAGGACATAATAGGTATATATTAAGAAAATATTCAAGAAATAAGCACCCGAACAAACAAAAGGATCAGGGATCCAGCACCTTCAATTGAGCAGTGTTAAAACTGCAAGACAGTCAGCCATTTTAGAGTAGACGCAGCCCGTTTCCATATCATTACATTTTTCCGTAGTGTATAATTACGGGCAGTAATTAGGTCAATAATTACGGGAAAACGGAAACAATATTACAGAGATCATTTACGGGAACAATTCACGGAAATAATTACGGGACATAATTAGGTAGAAAATAAGGCAAATAATTCGGTAATTATTTTTTCAACATAATTTGCGCGAAATCATGAATTAGGAAAATAATTGCAAGGAATCATTTCGGGCAATAATTCAGTATCTAATTACAGACAATAATTCGACAAATAATTTAATAATAATACACAATTTCCATTGAAAGGAATGTTTCTCAGTGTGAAGCGCCAAAAAGGTTCGGAAATCCCTTTCAAGGTAAATCTTGTTCAATAATTATGGGAAAAAATGAACATAATTTGGGCATGGACCCCCCTGCTCGGAGTCGACAAGGTTCAAATAATTACGGTAAATTGAATTACGTAGACAATTCCAGAAATCAGTCGCTAAGTTATTTGATGACGGGAAGTAAATAGATGTGCATAAGTACGGGAAATAAATAAGCACGTGAATTGGGTCACGATTGAAACCATCTAGGTGATATTGAATTCGACCACCAATCTTTCTTTCGAACTTACACCGATCAGAAATATAAAAACATATTATTGCAATTGTCTCCTGAAATGGTGATGTTGAAAATATACTCGTACTTCCACTGCTTCCAGCACGGGTGCATTTGGTCCCAACAGCTGTGGACTCGGAGACTGTCTTCCAAGTCAGCGATTCACTTGACATTTCCGGCTCTGAGCAGGAATTGCAGCTATTGGCTGAAGAGATAACTATGATGGTTTGAAAATAATTTTGATAAATGTTAGATGCCTGTGTGTTTTGGTCACTAGTCACGATTGGTTCCTGAAAGTAACAACGTACACTTAAGTTCCAGAGCATGAAATAGCTAGGTTATTAGTTGGAAAAAACACTGTGCTGTTGCATTTGTGCCTAGCACAACTTCTGAGTTGGGCCGAAGGCTCGGACATCCCGCACGTAGTGGTAGCAATATGCTACCACCAAAATGATTCCCAAGACAATACAAATTGCAGCTGCTCCAAGTCATTTGAACTGTGGTAATCAATTTCAGATCGATGCCTAGACGATAGCCAGACTTGATCTCCGTTTGAGTTCAGCAATGATCTACAGCACAGTGGCATTTTTTTTTCAAAACTGATACGGTTGCTTGGAATTGGATCCTCTCGTAGAGCTTCAAATCGGACAAGTTTTCTTTTCAAGCTCGACGCCGATCAAATCAATGATCAATGGTTCAAGGACCTTTCACCTCAAAAAAAATATTGCTTTTATTTGGTTGAGTGCACAATTGGGAACAATCGTGGAATCGTTGGACCCAGATCAGGTCGATAGAGTGACAGATCCTCTGGCAGGCATCCCTGCTGAGAGCGGCAGTGAGCCAGGAATACAATAGGAGACTTGGAGATGGTGGATAGCCAAAACAACAAATTCGGCTTGGTAGAGAATTGTAGACAAAAGCCAAGAAATCAGTGCCGAATTATATACCGGTCAAATAGCAAAATATTTCATCACATTGGTCGAGCTCCACTGCAAATCTTGTGCGGCCAATATATAGGCTCACTCATTTGGTTCGGGCACGGCGAGCTGCAGTCTCCGCATCCTTCCCAGCCTGGCCAAGCCGGCTTCACAGAGACAGATTCCTATTATTTTGCATCACGCAATATCAAATACTTGAACTGGTTCGTAAAGAATCTTGGAATATCTTATCTCTGAGTTTGTGGATTTTTTGAAATAATCTTGGAATCCAGTGGAATTCAGGGAAATTCTGATTTGTTGGCATACCTTGAAATACCGTATGCAAATTTTCAGAATATCTTGGATTTCCATCAAATTCCTAAAAGTTTCTGGAATCAGTTAATTGTTTTGGCAATATCATGATTCATGGGATTGGTTCGTTGAATACCTTACAATGTTAAATCTACCGATTTTTGAAAAAAATAAAAATTGCTCGGCTGTGTGTTTTTCGAGTTCTGCCGCTCCAAAGATAAAAATATCCTGGTACCCTTTCCAGCTTTCCAACCTCGCCTCTTTAGACTTCTCATCATCTTTGCGTTTGCGGTCCTGATGGATTGTTTTTCTTTTTCTTTTGATACAGACACAGAGATAAATGAGTCCAGCCTCAATAATCTTTAAGACAAGATTGTCCGGACGAACTCAATGTTTTCTGATGTCCCATGTATTAAATTGTTAACTGGATGAATGCAACATCCAAGCCTTCTGATTCTGGCTGTCGGCGGTGCGCTTTGAACGATGCAGATCTTCCTCCTGGTCCTGATCATGAGAGACAGTGATCTGGACAGAAAGATCTACAAACCTTTCAATATCAATGATCTAAATTCAGCAAGTATCCACTGGAAATTCATCCATCACTAAATTAAAAAAATCCCGCGCTCCACCCCTAATCATCCGACCTCAGGCGCTGAAATTGGTTGGGGGCTGTCACCATCAGGCGGGCCACACCAGCTCTTCATGTACTTGTTGCAATCATATTCAACTCCAAGATCTTCTGAATAGACCGCAGCTTGTCCGTCAAAGTACCAGATCTGCCAAAGCCTACCATGCGGTGGAACACAGAATAATAGGGAAATAATAAATTAAATAATAGTGGAATAATATGGAAATAATAAGGAAATAATAAGCAGATAATAAAGAAATAATAGGGCAACATTGAAAATAATATTGACATGCTATGGAAATAATAGAAACATAATATGGAAATAATCACGAAATACTAATGAAATATTAGATGCGTATAAGGAATTTAATAGGAAAATAATAGTGCATAACGGGCATAATAGGGAAAAGTGAAATAATATGGCAATATTAAGGAAATGATACTGAAATAATTTGGAAATAATATATATATATATGTATACAATTCAAAAGGAACTAATGGAATTCATAAGGAACTAAGAAGGAAATGAAAGGGAAATAACAGGAAATAATCATATGGAACATAGGACATATAATAATAATAGGGAAGTAATTGGAAATAATAGGTAGATAATAAGGAAATATGAGGTTGCCAATTAGTAAACACGTGCATTTTATTGGCTGTTGATGCTTCTCGTATATCGTGAGTTAAGCTGCTAGAATACATGTCGAAGCTGCACATTACTGTACGTGCCCAGGAACTGAGCATTTGGCAAGGTTGCCACACTCACATGCTCGGCACCAGCTGAACTGGTAATACTCCAGGAATTCAGTTGCCATTCATCTTCGAAGTAGTTGCAAGTGTAAAACTCGGTTGGCACCTAGGCTTTGCAAAAAGGCTTTGGGGAAGTGCACATCGTTGGACAAGGAAATGCTCAGTTTATTGTGGACCGAAAAAGCACGGATAATCCGGTACCCATAAACTTAAATTGCAATTCTATTACACTGGAGAAACGGACGAAGTAACGGCATTCTGACCCAGGCCGGCAAAATAGACATTTTTGGCATGATTGCAAATCAAAATAATGATGAACAAATCAAAACAAGAAGCTGCCTGTGCATCATTATCATCAGAATCATCAGATTCAGCCTCCGCCTCCGCCAACTCCCCTGGGTAGAACTCGGAGCCCGGAGCTTCGAAGTCCTTGGCCAACCGGAACGTTGCAACTTCAACCATCCTCTCCACAGACACCGTCCGGTACTTGTCCATGGGGTAGCCCAGGAATTCATGTAGATCCGCCAGCTCGTTCAACAGCTGCCCCTTGTCCAGCCTTGGATAAGGATAATAAAGGGTAATTAAGGGGAATTAAGGTGCATTACGGGAAATTACGGGGAATTAAAGGAAATTTAAAGGGAATTAAGGGGAATTAAGGGGAATTAAAGGGAATTAAAGGAATTAATGGTAATTAAGGGGAAATAAGATGAATTACGGGGAATTATGGTGAATTACGGGGAATTAAGAAGAATTAAATGAAATTAAGGGGAATTAAGGAAAATTAAAGGTAATTAAAGGTGAATTACGGGGAATTAAGGGTTATTAAGGGGAATTAGGGAATTAAGGAGAATTACGGGTAATTAAGGGCAATTTAGGGGAATTACGGGGAATTACGATGAATTACGGGGAGTTACGGGAATTAAGGGGAAATAAGGGGAATTAAAGGAAATTAAGGGGAATTACGAGGAATTAATGGTAATTACGGGCAATTAAGGATTAAGGGGGATTAAGGGAATTAAAGGGAATCAAGGGGAATTAAGGGGAATTTAAAGGGAATTAAGGGGAATTAATTAAGGGAAATTAAGGGTAATATTAAGGGGAATTAAAGGGAATTAACGGAATTAAGGGGAATTACGGGGAATTGGTGTTAGGTCTAACTTGCTTAACAATTTTATTTTTTAAAATAATGTTCATTTTATTGCCACATTTAGTCTTAGGCGGCAAACACCAAAAGTAAAGGTAATGAGTAATGTTCAATCAATCAAGACACGAGGGCAAAGGACTGTCAGGTTCCGTGCCGGTCAACATGAACAGGTATGAAAGAAGTGCTTTCCGGTTGGGTCGAATCTTCTTGATCAACACATCGTCAAAGTGATCACTGATGTGCTGGAGCCAGGAGCATAGTTCATTCGCCTTGGCTTGGGAAAGAAATGTATTTTCAGCTTGGTGATTGTTGAAGAAGTATTGTATGGAATTCTATGGAATTATGCTAAAATTTCTCGATTTTCTTAGAATTCCTCAGAAAAACAAGGAGTTATGTGGAATTGTATGAATCATTGACCTTTTCAACGCAATTCTCCACAATCACTGAAATCCAAAGCTATAATAAGGGAAATAATTTTGGACATAAAGAGGGAAATGAAAATGGGAATTAATGCTGAATAATTTCGGAGAAAGGTAACAAATTAGGGAAGTAAATAGGTACATAAGTAAAAAAAATAGATAATGAAATAATGATGAAATAAATTGGGAAATTAATATGAACATATATATGATGGAAATAAATATTGAAATAGAGCATAAATAGAAAAAAATACAGATGGAAAATAAATTGGGGCAACAAATGAGAAAAACATAAAAAATAAATACGTAAATAAATAAGGAAAAAATAAGGAAATAAATAGGTAAATAAATAGATAAATAAATTGGAACAAAGTCAGGAAATAAATAAGGAAATAATTTGGGAATTAAATAGAGAAATAAATAGGAAAACACTAGGGAACATAAATAGGGAACAAATTTGGGAAATAATCAAGGCAATAAATAAGGAAATAAATGCGGAAATACATGGCGATATGCAACAGTAGGTAAACAGGGAAATATATAGGAAATGATAGGGGAAATGAATATGGAAATAAAAAAGGATATACATGGAGAATTCAATGAAAAATCTTTGGAATTCTATGAGCATGGAATTCTGTTGCCTTCTTCAAACTAGTTGAAAATTCTTGAACTTCTGTAGAATCCAACGGATTTCCAGGAAGCAAATGGAATATTATGTAGCTCTATGGAATTATTCCATGGGACTTTGCGCAGAACACAATTTGAAATCATGGAATGTTTTTGAGATTCGTGACGGGCACATCTTCGACTCGGAAGTAGCATCCTGGATAGCGGACAAGTGCACCAGTCTTATCGACTTTGGCAGGAGCGTACCTGAAGTGTTTCGAGCTGTGGCATACTGGGGAAATCTTGAATCGAAAGTGTCGGAACTTTATGGAATTATGTTGATTTTTTGGAAGATTCCGTATTTTATTGGAATTGTTGTTCTTGAATTGGCTGGAACATCTTTGCAGTTCTGTAGAATCCTATAGAAGATCTACGGATTTAAATAGAACTCAAAGGAATTGTGTGGAACATCTTTGACTGCAATGGACTTGGTTGGAATATCTAAAATTTAAAATCTAAGAATTCCGTTAACGTATCAAGAATTTATGGGAATTGTATGAAGTTGGGCTAGCAAGTCTGATGATTTCGAATTCCATGGAATTTTGTTTCATCTTGGATTTGTATGGAGTTCTATGGAATTCGATGCAGTTCTTCTTGAATCAAAGAATTCTATGAAATTCTTAGGAATTGATCATGAAATGTTCGAAATAACAAATCGGATGAAATCTGGCGACTGAGGAACCGGCCCAGGCTCGGCGCGACCGGGACGGGTTCCCTTGCCGTTGTTCTGACGTGCATTTGCTTTTTCCAAAGCCTTACTTGGACCTCCTTTAACCTTGGCTCTGGGTGTTGCCTTGGCCCTCGCTTTTGCTTTGGCTTTGGCGTTTGGTTCAAGCGAGCCTTTCGGCTTTGGACCTGGTTTGTTGCGTACTTTTGCCTTTGGAGCTGCTTTTGCCTTTGGCTCTGCTGCCCAAGGGTGCTGTTCAACTTCAGCTTCTGCATCTGGTGCGGCACCTTTTCCACCTCGTTTCCCGCCCCAATTGCGACCCGTCATGATGAGCAAGTTCGCGCTCACTAGACTTGAGAGAAGATGCTGCAAGAACTCACCGATTGCCAAGAACTACATAAGCTCTGCTGGCAGCTTTCAAAGTCTGAGCGGGCAAGAATCACAAAAAACGTTAAAATATGTGCTCAAATCTGCCACCATGTGAGAACGTATGATGCATATACATGATCTCGTGAGTAGTAGGTGCTTTGCAATATTTTCAATCAATGTGTATGTCCTCCTCAGTAACTGCCCACGGTTCTTTGTTCTTTTGCACCCCTGAAGTCTCTGGCATCCTAAGCATTGATGCGATTAATTGAACTGCAAGGCCAAAATCGCTAGTACGGGCCAGGTCGACGGGAGCTGGAGGCCGCTGACTCCCTGAGTGGATGGAGAAAATAATTAATCCAAGCTGTAGCTTCAAAATCATGTTCTTTGTTTCGATCGTTTGTGTTTGCACTACTTTTTGAAATCCATTTGAAAGATGTTGGAGTTTGTCTTGATCGAAAAACATTGCATTTTTTCTTGGCTTTGACGGCTGGTGACAACCAAAATCAACACTTGGGGGGCAACAACTCTCTAAATTGTTTTTTGGGCATTGCTGATGTCAAATTTTCCATTTCCCAATGTTAATATACAGTCTGGGATTCCCACTGAGTTGATGCATTGCGTCGTGCATTGCGTCGACGGTCCTGCGAAAAGCAATGTTGGCAAGAAAAATGCTTGGAAAGCAAAGGAAACAAATCATGATTGGAAAGAAAATGGAATTCATGGTTAATTCATGGAATTCCTTGAGATCCACGGAATATTTTGTTATGCAATGGAATTCACATGTTTTTTTTTGATCTTCTGCAATTTCTGCAGAATTGAATGGGATTTTGACGAAATTCTCGGACTATGTAATTTTTCGATTTCTATGGAATTCGATTGCTTAATTCTTTGAGTATCGTGGAATTGTATGAAACTGCTGATGAATTTTGAAGATTTTTTCAGGAATTCTACAGAATTCTAGAGAAGCTTAAAGAATTCTGAGGAATTCTAAGGAATTCTATGGAACTCTACGGAATTGTAGTGCACACTCTCAAAATAAACATCACCAAACAATCCCAGATGAAAAACTGCAAACACAGCTGCGGCTGATATCTCTCTATCTTTTTTCACGGGGACTTTGAAGCTCAACTGGAGTTGCCATGCCACCGTTGTGGTGTGCCAGGTTGCACCACTTCCAGCACAGGATCTTCCTGTGGGCTGTCTGACACTGGCACATATTCAAGGTAAGATTGCAAATTGGTGAATGTAGTTGCCAAATCTGTCAAAGTCTGGGAAACCTCGAGTTGGTAGTGAACAACAAATGGGCGAAAGACTCGGTTCATGGTCGCCACAATCGTGCCAATCAGTGGAACAGCAAGACCAATACGATTTTGGAGCCACCCGCGCCACTTGTGATGAATCAAAACGTTCCAGGTAGCAGGTTGGGCTCCAGCCGGGTTTCCCGGCAATGATACCTCTGAGAGACTTTGCGGAAAAGTTATCGGACTTTGAATTGCCGCCGCCGCCAATGCAGCCCAGAACAGTTCCAAGACTGATCGCATGCTCACAGGACATCCTAAAATTTCCAGCAATGCCTGGGACAATTGGGCCAACAGTTGATTTTCATCTGTAGCCACTGCACGATGGCTCAGACAAGTCACAAGCACCTGGATAAAATACAAGCGAGGATGCATGGCAGCGCAATATATGTAGGTTCGATCGGGATATGGAGGTGCGGTGCTTGATGAGACGGGTGGGAAATCAATGGATTTCTTTTGATTTCCGAGATCTATGGATCGGATTTGGATTCTATTGATTTCAATGTATTTTCAGTCCGTCTCCATGGAATTCTATTATAGTTCCGATTGATTTGCATTGGCTTCTATTGATTTCTATCAATTTCCATCAAGCCGAGTGTGTTTTGATGCTTTTTGAATGATTTCTGAGTCTTTGGTGAGTTTCCCAGAGTCTGCTTGAGCCTGTTATGAGCGTATTCTGAATCTGGCATGAATGTTTTGAATTCGACGGAATTCAATGGAATTCAAGCGAAATCTTTTGAACAACAGATCGACCAAACACATGCAACTTGATGCATTCAAAACATCTGTCGAACCCGTCTCAACAGGATGTTGTAAATTTGGTATGGGATTTGTAATTCTATGGATAATTCTGGAATTTCAATATTCTCTGGAATTCTGTGGGCTTCAGTTCAAAACAATTGGATCCCAAACAATATCCGAGTTGTTCTTTACAGTTTTGCAGCCCTATTATTCCCACCCTCGAGTTTGATCTGTTAGAATGTTTTCGATTTCTGCCGATTTTCTTGTGATAGTCCCTATCCCTTCACTTTTGCAGCGTCCTCAAAGAAGACGAAGGGATCGCTGTCGGTCTG